CCATTTTGTATAAAATATCAGAGTTTTGAATTGTTGATATAAGAGACTTTGAAATAAGTCCTTTAAGAGTAAGGTTGGAGTAGTAAGTATTAGGTAATGTATATAGAGAGTTAAGAGCTAGATATAAAAGCTAATTTGAAAAGATCCAAATAGAAAAGTAATATAAATTTTTAATAATATTACTATAAAAACTAAATCTAACAAACAGATATTAATATAAAAAAATTAGATGAATAAAAATCTTTAAATAAAAATACTACTTACTAGATTATCAAAATTTAAACTAAAAAAAAGAATATTAAATCAAACTCAATATATTAAAAATAGATCAATTCTATTAAGCTATTTGGATTAGAAGTTTAAAAACAAAGCAAAAATATATTAAAGTACTAAGAATATGCTACAAAGTTAATACTAAGGTTTAAACAAACTTTGCAAAAATATAAACTTGTTAATAATTTATAGAATTAATAAAATAGTTAACAGAAAAATATCTTAAGTTTTATAATCAGATAATATGCTTCAAAGTAAGTAATAACTTAACAGTTATACAGAAAAAAACTAAATATTAGATTAAATGACACTTAGATATACAAAAACTAAATATTATTTATTTAATATAATATAAGAATTAGTATTTAAATAAATAATTTTTTAGTAAATTATAGATATAACAGCTAGTATAGAATCTATTTAAATAAGTAACTAAAGGATCTTCTTTAGTATAGGTAGGCATATATAAATTATTACAAAATTATAATATATAAAACCCATCTAATTTAGACCAATTTATATTATAACCCTAATCCTGACTCTAACTATTTGTAAATTTACTTAAATTGATTCAAAATAGTTAATTTATATATATTATAATTAAATAATAAACATATTTGCCCACCTACACTAAAGATCAACCTAACTAAAAGTTACATATGTGACTAATTGCATACTTACTTTGTACAAGTTATATGTAATGTATAATTAAAATTACAATAAAAGACAATAATTATCATTAACATTAGCTTTAGTAAAAACAAATAAAAAACAAATTTTTAATTAAAAACATAATAAAAAATTAAAAAACTTTAGATTAAATTCTTTTTTAAACTATTTGATTTTAAGACTTGTAATTTTAATTAAAGAATTGTAAAATACTAAAAAAATATATATTTAAAGTTTAAAATTATGTTTTATATTTATTTTTTTAAAAAAATTAAAAAAAAATTTTTTTCTTGCAAATTTTACATATAAATTGTAATGCCATTTTATTTAATTTATAAGTATTTAATTTTAAGTTATTTTAGAAAAACATTTTAATAACTCTTATAGTAAAATAATTTTATATATTTTATAATAAATTGAAACTAATAATAATATAATATTAACCAAGATATAATTGTAGTAAAAGTAACTATAGTAAAAAGTAACTATAATATAAAAGATAACTGAATTTATATAACATTAATTTCAAATTTGAATAGTTTTATGCAATATTTAATAATTTATATATTAAAAATTTTGAAATCATACACATTGAATAACTAACTATAGCATATTCGTATAAACCGATAGATATATTGATGTATTAGATTTTTAATATTACAATAATTAGGTTTTATAAGGGTTATACTTATTATTAAATAATTTTAATAAGTTATATTCCGTCATTTTAATAACGGGTTTAACTTCTAGTTAAAGTTTTATAATATTAATATAGATTTAATTGTAACACTAAGTGGTTATTCTCAAGATTATATAATTTAAAAATACTCAGATGTAATTTATAATATTTGTAATTATTACTTGTTATATATCTGGTATACTATATTTTACAAAAAAATATTACGTATTAAGAAAACAAAACCTTTTTAGCAATTTTGTAGTTTTAAGTCTAATTTACTTTTGTTTAATTTCAAGATATATATTATGTATTAATTTAAAGTTTAATTATAAATATTATTTTTGACCAATCACCATTGATTATATAAAATCAGTCAATCGTAATATATTTTTAATAAAAGAGTGTTGATTTTATGTTATCTCGCACTGTATTTCATATGATAAATCAATTTATTAAATATCCTTCTTGTCAAAGTACCTTATTTGTATTGTATTGTATACTTTTTTAACATTTGCTTACTAAAATTAATCAAGAAATAACGATGAGTGAACCAAAGGTCATGGTTTTATAATTTGGCGCCTTTTTATAATATACTTTGTAAACGCATTGATACAATAAAGCGGGGTGAATAAAGAATATTCCCGATTGGCAAGATACGTACTTCTTTAATAATTGAACATGCAAATATATATATGGCTTAGAGCATATACATACACTTTTAAGTTGTATTAATCATTTTGCGAAGTAACGGAAATAACGGTAAATGACGATTTTATAGAGCAATAATAATTAATATAAGGAAATCAATACCGCCTTTCGGAACATTTAAAGATATATGACTTTACTAGTTTAGAATTATAATCTGGGGAATGTTACCTGCAACTTTAATCATGTACTTTCTTCATTTTGTGATCAAATTAAAAGTACCCAGGGACACATACATATTTTAAAATAGGCGGGCGTATTTATAACAATCTATACTAATTAGAAAACATTTGTAATGATCGCGGTCCAAACGTGCACCGACTTTGATTCATAATATATATATTGTATGTTGTTCATACACATCTCTCATGGCTGTAACCTAAAGAAAAACGTGAAATGATATTTTTTCATAAAAGTTGACACTTATTTGATAACTCATTGGGTTGATCCTGAGTTACAATGGAAGTGAGACAAATATTGTATTGAAAATCTATAATTATAAACATTTTATGCACGTTGATGGATTAATTGCGCATTAATGAATTACAATGAATTATAATGAAAATCATGCTAGCACATCACCTGAGAAGTATTTATATATATCTTACGATTATTCATTTAAAGTTAGCGTTTTTTTTTATAAATTAAATCTAGTTTATTATAAATTTAATAAATTTAATATTATTAAACCAACCATTATCTTTGTTCTAAACTCTAGGGAACAAAATGGAACAAAATGAAACAAAATGAAACGAATGGAATAATAACTCCAAACATTTAAACATTTACAGACATGTAACTTTAATTTGTAGCTCGAGCCTTAACGAGCAAATGAAACAATAAATGTCAAATACGTAGTAATGTTGATTATCAAACAATTACAATTATTTGTCAAAATCATGTTTTTCTCCTTGAAATTTGTCAAGATGGCTTGGAAAAAATATATTTAGATAAGAAAATTATATTTGTTTGTGACTCGAGAACAATAAGAAATTCAGAAGCGTTGTATTAAACCGAAAAAACTTCCCACCAAAAGTTAAAAACAGAACGTAACCTTGAAAAAAAACTGCAATTAATTTCCTAATTAGACATTAATTGGAGTCGGGTCATTTATTAAATTAAGTAATCAAGTTTATAAAAAAAAATCTTGGTCAATTATTGTTTGCTATTACTGTATTATTTGTTATTACTAAGCTTTTCCTGCAAGTTACATTTTTAGATTGAAAAGTTACCGAGTCTGATTATTGAAACAAAAAAATCAACTTTACACTAATATAAATACAAGATTAATAATCATAATTTTACTATACAATTTCAGATAGATGACTCAATGACTATGACTAATAATGATAATATACACATTGTTCATGAAATTTAACGGTAATCAGATTCTTTTAATCAATTAAATCAATGCAAGATAATCAAAAGTTTTGGTAACATAATCCGAATCATTAACATTAAATTATTTAAACGAAGTATTCAATGTCTACCGCTACTACATTGTCTCTAAATTTAATTCCACGTACTTGTATTTTAAATATCTTTATATCTACATAAGTATTGTGCGAAATTCTCACAGGTGCTACTTTGACTCGGGAATCACTCAGCGAAATCTGATCATAAGTAAATAAACTTGCTATACGAATGGAAATTATAAATTCCCAATAGCCGATGGATGACATTTTAATATTCTTACATGAATGAGCATACAGCTAATACTACCACTACGTATTCTTATTTGTAATACGGTCAAAATAAGAACTTATTGGATCCTATTATAATATCTTAAATGCAGTTGGCTTAACACTTGATTATAATTTGATTAATTTTGATTAATCTAATATTTGGGTTACCGATTCAAGAACTCACGTGACTACTTAATGTATTTACCAATACGATCTTGTGTCATTTAAATACTAGAATCTTTCATTTCGATTGTTATAATATACATAAAAATTCTTATTGAATATAAATTTATAATACGTAAATGATATATATATTCTATAATTGCTAATTGGCACATCTTAACATCTTTTAATGTTTTAAAAATATATAACCCACCAAATAAAATAGTTACTTTTTTTTCATCTTTTTTCTTTTTTTTTTTTTGTAGTAATAGTATTATAGTATACAATGGTTAGGTGAAAGAAAAAAACAAATAATAAAAATAATAATAGTAATAATAATAATATAATTTTTTTTTGCTATGTATATCTAAATTTTTTTGAAACAATTTTATAAAAATCAAAAAATTTTCAAAATTTCTCAAAAAAAAAAAAAAAAAAAAAAATATAAGTGCCCACTAGAAATGGTGATTATGCCCTTTATGAGTACCGGCTCGTTCAAGTTTGCTAACGTCATGACGACCGTCACAACATTGCCTTACATTTTCTAAATCAAAGTCTTCATCATCTTCATAATCATCATCATCAAAACCATTTCGTGACGTTCCAGGTACCGTAAGTTGTTGTGATTGTCCATCAATCACTTCAGATGAAAGGGGTGATGATGATTGATCTTGACGTCGGAATATTGATTGAATTTTATTAAAACTGGACTTTTTCTTAAGGTTACCGCCTTTTAATGATCCAGTTGGCGACGTACTATCGTACAAGCTACGAGTATTTGGTTGCTTATCCCAAGGATCTGATGCCATTTTTCCTGGTCGTCCGGTTGTCTGACCTTGGCTTTGGCCTTGTCCTTGATTAACTTTGTCTGATTCATCCGTTTTTTGTTGAAGCAAATACTTTAGTGCCTAAATGTGAAAATTTTTGTATTGTTTGTATCAAATATCGAAAAAAAATAGATATAAATTACTTTAAAATGGATGTGAACCAACCTGGTACCAATAGTCATGTCGTTCCTTAGATCGTGCTGTAATTTTTAAATCTCTTTCTGGGGTCCTGATGATCAAACTCATATGATGTAAACCGGGAGGTGAAGGATTATTATCTTCAACTTGTTTTACTGACTCTATATATGCTATTAATCAATTAATGAATATTAATAAATCAATTTGTAGTTTATACAGTTGTCCAAAAAAAAATAAATAAAAGTAGTATACTTACCAAAATATGATGTTCCGCTCTTTGTTTTGGGATCAACGGGTTCTGAATTACCAGGGTCTCTGTTGCTCCAATATAAAGTTTTGGTATATGGATGAACCCAAAAGAACCTTTTATGTCGTTTATCACTCCCGAAATTACGTCTAGTATATTTCCACAAATATTCACCAATCATGGTTTGAGTGATCGCATGAATGATAGTTGGGTCCGTGCCGGATGGTCCGGGCAATGGTCCTCCATTATGTTCTGGTAACTTACTATTCGTTGTATCTGCCGTTATCGAAGCGCTGCTCGACGTTGAGACAGAACTGGACGAATGATCGTGAAATCTTGATGTGGTAGGTTCACCAGCATTTATATTATTAATACCTCTTGATTTACCATTAGTTAGTATACCATCTTGTGATTCTGCTGAACTTTTACGTGCGTTATCAAGTGATTTTTGAACTTTTGGTGTACCAGCTTGTTGACCAAAATTAACGGCGGCCGGTAAACGTTGTATTAGTGTTGCTGATGGTCCATTAGCGGGGCGTGGAGGTGGATCCAAACTTTGAATTGGTCCTTGTTGTTTATTTGTATTTTGTAAAATACTTCGTGGTGGTTGAGATTGTTGATTATTTGATGATGAACTAAGATCAAGTGTGAATCGTTTGTTATCTTTGTTACCATTATCAGGTACGGTCAAAGTTTGGCTGGTTTGATCATACTTTGAATCGTGAGGGATATTATCAGAGATCATGGTATCTCTGTTAGTTCCAAATGTAAGTTTGCTGGACATTGAATCACTTCGTTCAGTTTTCGATTCAGTTTGTACACCAACATCTACGAATGTTTTAATTATGGTAGATTCTTTGGGAATTGATCGAGTGGTTGGAGAAGAATCTATTTTATATGAAAGTACATCTTGGTTTGTTTCTCTTTTTGATTTTGCGGATCCTCTTTTAGAATCAATGTTTGACTCATTTTCTGTCGCAAATGAATCAGTTGATGATTCATACTCACCTTCCATGAGAGAATTTCCAGAATTTGTACGTCTTTTTTCGTCAGATGGAGATCTAGGCTCGCCGACTTTTGAACTTTGAGAGCTTCTATGAATAATGCTTTCATCGTCATCATTTTGTTTACTAATATCTTCATATTCAGTAACACGTCTACGAACAACCGAGTCTTTATACCTTAAATCGGAATTTCTAGGTCTACTATCTTCAAAAGTTTCAGGTTCACTCACTATCCCTCGAGAAGTAGAATTATCTAATTTTCTAAAGGCTTCATCCCTTCTTGCAGCTTTAATTTCTTTTTTTTCATCATCATCATCATAATCTTTAACGATATCTTCATCTATTCCTCTTGATGATAAAGAAGATTGTCTAGAAATTCTACTGTTTTTAGCCTTATTGAACCAACTGGATGAAGGACGATTGTCCTTATTTATCTTTTCAAGATCATTAGAAAGTAAATAATTTTCAGAGATAATGGAACGATCACCTGGTTCAAGGTTTCCTTGTTTTGATTGATCAGGTAAGGCATCATAAAGTTCTACACGCATAGCTTCAATTTGTTCTTCTCTATCAGATAATAATTTCTTTAATTCATATTTTTCACTTTTTTCTTTTTGGAGATTAGCGCGAAGGCTACCAATCATACGGTTTGCAACACCAAGAGCTTTCATGGTTTCTTGAGAATTCACATTTTTATTAAGAGAATCCTGAGGAATACTTGAATCAGTATCACCACTACTAATAATCTGACCATCTTCATCATATGATATATTATTTGAACCGGTACCAGTATCCTTAGTACTTTTCTTAATTTTTGAGGCATTTACAAAAGAATCTAATTGAGATTTTAAATCATCAACAATTTTTAACAAATCTGCTTTTTCTCTATTAAGAGCAGCAATATGCCTTCGATTATTTGCCATATCTTTTTCATGTCGAGTTTTTAAATTCTCAAGATTTGAAGTTAATCTTTCTTCTTTATCTTTAAGTTGTTCTATAACATCAGTCGCAGTTGAAAGAGCTTTTTCAATCTTTGTGTAATCACTACGAGCTTTAGTAAGTTGTTGATGCAAGTCTTCTAATTGTGAGCTAAGATCTTGCTTAGCTAATTCCAGAGCCCAAACTTGTTCGTTTAACCGATCTAATAAAAAGAATTATTATTATTATTATTATTATTATTATCAAGAATTAAGAAGGATAGTTATATTAAAAAATATTATACCTTTAGATTCTTGATTTGCTCGCAAGTTTTTATTAAGTTGTTCAATAGTACGTTCTAATTCAGCCTTTTCAGCTTCTAATTCTTTTATTCTTTCTTCTTTTTCATGTAATAAAGCTTGTAAACGTCTAACTTCTTGTAATAAACCTTGACCTATTTCAGTAGCAAATTCTATATCTTTTTGACGACCTTTCTGCGCATTACGATCACGCCTTGAGGAGGATTTTCCTATAGTTTGAGTTGGTGTTGTTGTTTCTATAGAAGGAGTTGTTGGAGTTGAAGTATTTGGTGACTCTAGTCCCACCTAATAAAATAATAATTATTGATTATTATTATTAATTTAATAAATGCTATCCAAGATAATTAATTTTAACACTCTATATTATTTAGTCATACGGGCTAATCTCGTTATACAAGTGATATCATTCAAATCAGTTTACGAATGACTTTTAAATAGAAAATAAAAAATAATAAAACTTACGTCTTGTAGACTTTTTGAACCCAGAAGAACCTTTGCGGAGCTTTCATGTATAGCACCAGCTTCTTTTTCAAGGTCAGCTAATTTATTTTTTAGTTCTTGAGGGACTTCATTACCTTCAGTACTATCTAATGCCTTTATTTGATCTTGTAATTCTGATTGTTGTTTTACAAGAGCAGCAGCTAAGTCAGCATTTTCGTTTAGTTGATCTTGTAGTTGTTTTTTTAAGACAGCCGGTGATTGTGCTTGGTTACTAAGATAAAAAGATCGTCGCGATGTCGTGTCGGAGCCACGACCTTCGGTATTTAACCTTGGCCTCGGAGTAACGGAGGCTAGATTCTCGTTATTATCTATATTATCTGTATTCATGAGTGTCTATGTTATTTTGCTCTAGGCGTATTTCTAGACAGCCAAAATTATTTTGCGTAGTAAGTTGGTTTATTTATTAATAACTACCTAAATTTGTACAAATTTATTATGTTATTTTCTAATGAATTTCTCCCAAAGAAAGGTAATTAATATTTTTTTAAAAAACCTACTCTTTAGATATTAACTTTTTGTAACGGAATATTTTGATTTTAAACGAGTGATATACAAAAAAATAATAAAATATACAACCAAAAAGAAAAAAAAAGCAAATAAATAAAAAAAATTAAAAGGATTAAAGGAAAGAAAAGCAGATAATATATTTAATAAAGATGTCGTTGTATCAACTCTTTTTTAGAAACAGTGTACAAAAGATATACGTATTAGCAGTTAGTTGTACTTACGTACTACGTAACCGTCTGATAAGCAAAAGGTGTGATTTGTGCATAAACTTTGTATCATCACATGAATAGCTTACTTGCCAAATGAACCAGAAGTGTTCAAGGCGTTCCGGACAGAAGGGTTCGAGCCAATCGGATTAAGCATTTTTCCTTATTTTTTTTTCTGTTTTAGCACGTAGGTGACTTATTATGCAACTATTCTGACAAATACTGTAATTTAACCTTTCTTTAGTAGACAAAAAAATATTTTTTGGAAATCAGACAATGGGTAAAGTTTTGATTAACCTCAATTGGCATAAAAGAATGTAGCTCAAAAGATGGAAGGTTAAAAATTCTATATAGTTGCTTTAAAAAAGTCGATAATAACACTATAGACTAGAACTAATCGAGAGACTATAATGAGTTGGTGCACAAATATGTTAAATATGAAATCATTAATGACAGATAACAGAAGTATATCAAAATGTATCCATTAGAGAAACTTTAGAATTTTTGATGGAAGTTATACAATGACCTGATCAGATCAAATGATGTTTAAATAAACAAAATATTGTTCCAAAATGTGTGATTGATTTGTATTTAATTTCGTGACACGAATTATCATAGGTTTAAAGCTCATGTTAAAGGTTTTAATAATTTGAATAAATATCTGTTTTATGAAAGTTAAAGCTGAAACTGGCCGGATCGAAATTTTGAATCATCATTTAAACATATAAAACCTACTAAGATTTACTTATACTTACTCTTAACAATTCTAATCCTAAAATATATTCTTTCTCCCAAAAAAAACTGAAAAATTGCGCCCAAATTCATTTCTTCCAATTTCAGCTTTAGCTTACAATAATCACGAAACTCGGACGTATGATGAAACCTACCGATCAGATCATTTCGAAATTGGCTTTTAAACTGATATAATAAGTAATTGATAAATCAAGATTGATTAAATTACTTTGAAATCTTTACACATATATTAATAAAGTTTACATCCACTTTTATATAATATTGATATTCATTGTTTTAATGTTTATATTATTTTATTTAGCAATCTAACTAAATATATATAATAAAAATTTATTATATAAAATAAAACCTGTTGATATGGTTGAAAATATTCGATATATTAATTTTATAATTGGATTAACGTTAATTTGGTTATTGAAATATTGAGTTAGTCAGTTTTCTGGTTTTTCATAGCATTCAATCTTGTATATTGACCCACAAACAGGATCATTTCAAAAAAATTTTTAAGCATTGTTCATTTCCTGCTACGCAATTTTTCCTCAGATTTTTCTTTTCATTGCGTATTTTTTTGAGAATACGTAATATATATTATATAAGCCGTTTTGTTAATAGTAATACAGCATATATTAATATTATAAATTGATAAAGTATACGTATAAAATTCTAATTAATAAATACAAAAAAAATAGCTAAGATTTTAAGAAAATCTAGAATTATATAAGAGTTTTTAATTTATTATCCAAATTAATTTTTTTTGATAGTTCTGTCTTTGCTTTATTAAGACTTAATACTTATTATATATAGACTTCAAATATTTAGATAACTTGGTATATAGTTAAAAATTATATTTAGTTATTTTTTTTTTTTGAACGTTAGGGTAAGGCCTTGCTCATAACAATTAGTTGTCTGAGTTAACAGACTATTACAAATTTCTATTAACTGTATTACAAGTACTAAACTTAAAATCATATACAACTAAGTATAATTTATCTATAACCAGAGCAGTTTATGTTTTATTTACATATTATCTAAATTTTTTGTCTTATCATCTATACATTTTTCTTACCAGATATATTTACTTCTACTTTCACGTTACCAGTACTATACTTTCAATATAATTTTAATGCATTATTTATTACAAATTTTCAAAAAGATGTTAAGCAAGCATAATTTCTTAGTTACTTCTAGTTTTGTATAAGTACTGCTACTATTAGATCTATATTTCAAACTATTATTTGTAATGCTATTATCTAACCTAAATTGTATTTTAAGTATCAACCTTTTTTTTTTTATTTAATATTGTTTATATACATACAAGTCTTAATAATAAATATTTTTTAAATTGGTATTATAATAAAGTTTTTAGATATTAAATATATGTATTTAATTTTAAATAAAGTTTTATAATATATTTATTAGTAGTTTTACATCAAAGTATTACTAATAATTAAGTAGTTTTTTTTTCTATTTCTAAGTCTTACTTATATTTCATACTATTTATAAATTAGAAAGATTTCAACTTTATATTAGTAATTTAAAATTAATATTCTTATATATATTTTATATTTTTATTTTTAATTAAATATAATTTGTTTAGTTTAAGTATATTTTAAAATATTTGATATTTTTTTTATATTTAGTAATTTTTTGTAAGTTATAATTTAAGTATTAAAGATGTTTTCTAATTTTGGTAAATTAATTTTTTACTACAAACTATTCTTATATATATTTGTTGTTTCTCTTATTACTTTAATTTTGATTATTACAAATTACTTTTTTAATTAAATTTTATATTAAACTAGGCCAAATAAGAATTTATTATATGTAATTTATTAATTATTTTTTTAAATAATTATTTTACAAATTAGTTATAAAAATATTAGTACTGTTTATTCTAATAATGCAAAACGTTAATATTGTTTTTTTTTTAAAACTTATATATACAATCTGGTTTTTATTAAAAATTTTTATTATTATCTTTTTATAATTAAATTTTTTTAAAAAAATTCTTATTATAAATTTATATATATATCTAAACTTTTTTATTTATATAATATTATAGTAAAAACTTTAAAATACAAAGTAGAAATTTTAAATACAAATAAAAAAATTTTCTAAAATAAAAATTTTTAAGTTATATTTGTATTGCTTTTTTAAGATATTTAATATAATATTACATCTTTTATTTTCTAATTAATGCTATAGATAATTATTTTAAATTATTTTTTAGCTAAAATATATTAAAAAAAATTTTAACTTTTTTAATATAAATACAATACTTATTTTTTTTTTTTTAATCTTTGGCAGTCTTGCTGATCATTTTTATTAAGAGTCTTATATACATGATTTTGTACAAAGTTGGTTTAAATTCTGACTTAACATCTTTTAGCTACTTCTATAAGTATCTAGGAGCAGTCTACTGCATTGATTAGAAATTAATCTAACCAAAAGATTATACCAAGCTAGCTGTTAACATTATAAAAAAATTACTTTTTTTTTAATATAATCAACAACTAAACCTAACTAAGAACTTTATATTTTTTTTTCTCTTTTATAGTTTGGCTTTGATTCTCTTCTATATTTCTTTTATCTAATTCTTTTACTGAATTACTAACAGTACTATTTCTTAAACTATTTTCTTTCTTCTTCTTATCTGCAGAGCTAATTTTATTTTCTTTTTCTAATTAGTAATTGCTTTATAGTATTTTTCTATATATTTTCAAAAAAATCATTCTATACTGCATTTGTTCATATAGTTATAAATTCTTTAACTTTTTTGAATAATTGAACAAGGTTTTGTAATGTTGTTTTGGCTTGTTTTTGAATTAGCCCCTTTATGCCTTTAGATCTATATTCTCTTTTTTCTTCTACTGAATTTCTTTATAAGATTTTTGTTAGTTCTGATTTACTTATTTTCTTATGAGTTTCTTCTGAAAGCACTGTTTAGACTAAATTAATAGCTAAAACTTCTGTAATAATCCATTTTTTTTCATAAACTTTATATGTAGTTAAGTGTTTTTGATCTTCTTCTTGGTTTTTATTATATAGAATATTGTATAATTTTTTGTATATATTTGGGCATCTCTTTGCTAAAGTCTTCAATACTGTTAATTTTTTATTAATATATTTAATTAGTGTTGCAATTTTTCTATTTTCTTTCATACTTATACATCTGACTCCACTTTGATTTCTAACTTTCTTCTATAATAATAACCAGTCATGCTTTTCTTTTTTTTTATTGGTTCTAATTTTTGAACAATTATATAAATCTTTATTCTAAGCCAAGCTTAAAATCTAAAATGTTTTTAAAAAATTGTCTTATTGACTTTCTATAATTGTTCCTTTTCAACAGAATAATATATTTAAACTAGGTGGTGGCATATTTATAATTTTATTTCTATTCTCTATACTACTTCTCTTTTTTGCTATTTATTTACTTTAGTATTCTATTTATTATCATTATGTTTCTTTACTTTAACTAATTCTAACTCTAACTTCTTTAATTAAAATAACTCTATTATACTTTTTTTCAAGTTGTGATTTTTTTTTTTAATCCATTGTCTACTTTTTTTAAGATTTTTCTCCTTATTAAAACCTAATATTGCTGTTACACTATTCGTATAAATCTTAATTATTCTTTTTTTTGATGTTATTAAAAGCACTAATCAAATAGTTAATAATTCTTAGCCTACTTTCATATAGTCAATATTTGAAGCATTGCTTGTTGCTGATTTTTTAAGCAAACTATCTGTATAAAAAATAAGTTCTTTATTTGAATTTAATTAGTTTTTTTAATTCTTAGAAATAAAAAATTCTTTTAGCTCTTTGCTTAACTGCTGTTTTTTAATTAATTCTATATCT